TGGTAATCCGCTCCCATTGGAACGGATTAACCGGTTTTAATGCATTCCTATGGGAAATGGTGTTTCGCTTAGTGATGTTTTCCCATAGCAATGGTTTTTTTTGAACCAATAAACATCGTTAAGCGAGTCACCACTGTATTGAATTTTGCTAGCATCATTGTTAAGCAAGTCACCACTGTATTGAATTTTGCTAGCATGACAGCTCAGGCCATTGCCTATTTTCATTTTAACAGAGGCAATTCTTATGTGCCAGAGGATCTTGAAGTGTTCAATGCCAAAATTATACCACAAGTGCTAAATGCTATCCCCATTTGGATGAGTGCTATGGACTGCTCAGTGGAATGGATGCAAGCCTCATTCCTACGGAAAATCCGTGAATTGTAGAACGCGAGAGCTTTCCTGACATCTATCATGTACGTGAAGGTCCCATTTCCAAGGGTGAGGAAGGGTCTGGAAAAATGTAGGCAGCACAATAGGTTAAGACAAGTGATAATGGGAGACCACTTCAGGAAGAAAAGAGACATCAGGGTATCTAATAACTTTGTCTTTATAAAATTGCAGATATGGAGGATTGTGACAGAGCACACACAACTTGCAGGCCTGGTGAGCTGATGTAGCTGCAATGAGAAAGGCTGTCTCGTAAGCTACATGAGGCCATGGGTTCAAAGGTGGGAGGTCTTGCCAGACAAGTGAGAACCAGTTGGAGAACACTGAGGAGAAGCTGCCTTCGGTCTTTTTCAAGGAGAAAGTTGGGTTAAAAATACTTGAATAAATAAATGAATAAATAAGGTAAGTGACGATCAGGGTAAGTATGCTTGAGGCCTCTGAGAAAGAATTTCAGGTGAGGGTGCTTGAAGAATTGGGAAGTTGAGGAACCCTCGGACTGATGTGCAACAATAGTGGCAAGATAGCCTTTAACTGACGATGAAGAGAGACCCTGTTGTTTCAAATGAAAGAGGAAACTGAGAGCTAAGTGAAGAGAGGGTTAGATATCAAGCAACCCTTGAAGGTGGTGAAGGACTGAAAACAACGCCATTTGTAGGTTTAAGTGTGAATGGTATGTCTCCTACTTGCAGTTAGGATAGGTTAAATCTCCATGGTATCCTTCAGGCCATTAGATTTAGGCAGTTAAGATCTGAGTGTAAGATTATCCTGGGATAACAGATCTGGGCATTTTGGAAGTCTGACATGAGACAATGACATGTAAAGAAGAGGGGAGAATGTCACCAGGGAGTCAGGAGAATGTCGGATCTCGGTGACCATCCTGTGAATCAGAGGCAAGGGAGGGAAGAGGAAGAGGAGACTATGATCCCAATGGAATAAAAAACTGTCTTGTAGAGACTCAGGATTGCTTCCTGCCTGGGAGCAAAAATCTTTGCATTTCCTGTTCCGACTGGAAGCAAAGTCCACCTGCGGCTTTGGCCATTTGTCACACAGAGGAAGATCAGATGATTCTGCTCCCATTTGTGCATCTGTGAGGCCTTCCTGCTGAGATAGGCCACAGTCTCATTGTCCTGTCCAACCAAATGGATTGTGATTGGAAAAATGTGGTACTCCATGCTCCACCCCAGAAACTGAGGGACAGAAGAAGGTGAATAGAATGGGTTCCTCCTTGCTTGTTTATGTAGCGCATAGCAGTCATGTTGTCGGTGACTACTTGTACTCCTCTCTCTGACAGAGGAGGATGGAATGCTCTGAAGGCCTTGAAGATTGCCAAGAGTTCCAACTTGTTTATGTGCAAGAGGAACTTTATGTGCAGGGGTTGCTGGGGTACAGACAGCACTCTCTGGGCTGCCAGTGATGTGGAAGAAGCCGCAGATGGAACCTGGGTTGCTGGAACTGACACAAAACGGGGAGTATTATGGAGCATTCCTTGAAGATAATGCAGAAGAGAGAACTATGGAGGGGGTACAAACACTCCTGGCTGCTCCTGTTGAAACGCCTATGGATAAGGCATGTGTAAAAGCTGTGTCAGGTACCACAAAGGCTGACTGAAGCCCAACTGGGCTAATTGCTGAGCCACTTTGACTTGGGGGAGGGTCAATGCCCCAGTTGGGGTTGGAGTCAACAGACCGGAGCCAAAGGCTGAAATGCTGAAGATGAGGTTTGCTGGGGCCACCGAAGATGAAGGATTGAAGTCTGAACTCTGTGCCAGTGGGAAGGGGCACTGGAAAACATCAGATTGAGTCAAAACCAGAGAAATGGACTTGGAAGAATAGATATTGAAGGTCACTAGAATCCTTAGGACATGAAGAAAGAGGGAATGGAGAACAGCAGCTGGAATCTTAAGAGGATTGAGAATGCTGTAGAGGAGAGAAGCTTCTCATTAGATCTGGGATTGACTTAGACCATTCCAGAGAATTACTGAAAGCAGGTGAGGCTGAGTGGGGATAACTGAGACAAATCAAGTCGGCTTGAGGAGTCACAGTGGGAGGCAATGGGGTACAAGATTCTCCTTGAAGTCTGGAAGGCTTCGCAGATTTAGGCTTTTTAGGTTTCTAGGTTTCAGAGTTGGCTTTGAAGAGCCTTTCTTCATCTTTTTAAACGAGTTGTCCAGAGGATTGAGTTGGAGCCGAAGGGTTGCTTGACATCAACTGAATCAGTCTTACCAGGTTTGTTGATGACAGGAGCAGGAGGAGGCCTATCAATAGGAGTAGGATCCTGAGACTGCTGGGAAAGTTGAGGATTGTGTGTTCTTGAGGAGGCTGGATGGAAGATTCTCCCAGAGGTGGGTGTTTAGGCAAAACCTGAGTTCGATCCCAACAGGTTCAGATAAATGGCTCAAGGTTGACTCAGCTTTCCAACCTTCTGAGGTCATAAAAATGAGTACCCAGCTTGTGGTGGGGGAGTGTTGTTTGCATAATTATGTTGTAAACTGCCCAGAGAGTACTCCAAGTACTATCTGAATTCACCCCCAAAAGTGTTTTAATTGTTTTAAGAACAACAAATCATATTGTGCTACATTAGATCCACCATTTCCTAGATTTCTGTCCATTAAGCCTCCTTCAGCAAAATATTAGAACATTCTTTTAAAAAATTAAAATATTATTTAAACACCAATTTTAAAATTAGGTTCAAACAGCAAATGCCAATATGAAACAGTATGGTCTTATATGTCCTAAACTCAACAGATTCAGCCTAATTTCCTTAGGAAAGGAATTCCACAATTAAGATATTGCACTACAGAAAAAGCTCTGTTTTGTTTACTCAGTTCTGGCTGACCTACTCAGTATGTCAGCCAGAAGTTTTTAATTGGGATATTCAGTTCAACTTCTAAAAGGAAAATGGAAATTGCAGAAACCAGCAGAAAATTATTCACTGCAGATTTTAGAATCAAATGTGAGTTCCCATTTCTATTGCTGTTTCAAATTTTCTTTCTCTTCTTTTGCATATAAAAATGTGCAAGTTGCTTCTCTAAAAACAAAGCATTCATTTTATGTTCATTATAAGAAAAAGTGTGATTATATATTTTATTAACACAGGGTTAACATTTGTATTTTCATAGTCCACTGGTCCATCTAAGTCAGCATTGTCTCTAGTTACCCAACTGCTGCCCTCCAGGGTCTCCCAAACCCACCTGGAGATGCCTAGGATTATATCTGGGACCTTCTGCATAGAAATTATGGGTTCTCTCACTGACATACAGCCTTTCACTTTTCATTCTTTCCTACAGAGTCTGTGGCAGCAAAAAAAGTCACTACACTTACTCTAGCATTGAGTAACAGAGGCAAGAACTACACAGGTCTTTCTGCAGGCCCTTCAAAAACTGCATTCAGCTGATTTGATTTTTAAAAATGTTCTAGATATCTACCCAATGGGAGTTACTTAATGCTATGTGTAGCAAAAAATAGAAAGCCTATATTCTGCAGAGATGTTTGTTTTAGACTCCACCATTCACCTAGCAAAAACGTCCCACTCACAGCTGTAACTGGATGAGTTGTTTTGTAACTGTGGGAGGTTTCAGAACCTGTAAAAAGTGATGGTTTAATGAAGATATAACAGAAATTGTTAAGTTCCCATTTCTTTAAAATAGAAGTATCTATTGTATGAAAAACAAAAAATGAATACTGAGATTATGTTTAATAGACTGCACAGTTAAAAGACATTTTCTTGGTAATGTTTTATTCTTGAAAGAATAACAATGTGAAGGACTTTTTCTCCCCCTGCTCTGGACAGAATATCAGAGCTTCACATCCTTGCTGAGAAACAGAATTAAAATCTAAATATTCATTGGCCTTGGAAGAAGTATTTTTGTGGTTCCTTTTCCTGGAGGTTCTGGATTCTAACACCTTCAACTTTGATACCTTAACAAAAAAGTCTCATAGAAATGCCACAGAAAAAAAAGCACAGGGGGAAAATACCCTTCACTCTAGTGGGTTTGATCCTACTAAAATCAATGGGACTTGAACTGTGACTACCATGCCCTATTTATTCCACGGGACCTATATGAGCAACTGCATGTAAGGGAATTAGACATACAAGAACATCAACAGCTTATAATCGTAATAACAGCAGCAATAAGAGCAGTTTATTCTAAAGCTCCACAGTTCAATACCTAAAAGGTATTCAGAAACTACAGTGGTGCCTCGCTTAGCGATTGCCTTGTTTAACAATGTATTCGCTTAGCGATGAGGTTTTTGGAGCGATTTTGCGCTCTGTTTAGCGATGTTCCCTATGGGAAAATTTCGCATAGCGATGTTCGGGACCTTGCCTCGCTTAGCGATGACAGTTTAGGTCCCCCTGTTTCGCTTAGTGATGTCCGTTTTCGCTATTTTTAAAGTGTCTTAAAATGTTCAAAAACTGTTTTAAATGCTTGGGATCATTAGTGCACCTTGTGAAACCTTTGTAAACTTAATTTGGCTTTGTTCTGACTCTTCGTTAATTTTTGGTGAATTTCCCCCCCATTGGAATGCATTGAACTGTAAACCTACTAGTCCAATTAGCTCAGTGTAGTCCACTCTGCCTTGCTGTGGACCAGATAGAAGAAGTCAGTCTAAGCTCTTTCCCTGACAATGAGCTAAGATGGTCTGCATATAAAGCACATCTTCTAAAACGGATCTTTGGCTTCCTTCCCAGTTTGCTCAAACAATGCTTTCTCTCCTCATCATCAGGTACGAGGAAAACCGCATCAGTGTTGCTTATGTAACTTGTCAGGGTCAGGACATCCCGATCTCTTAGAACAATGTGTGTCAGATTATCCTGAAAACATCTACCTTCCAAAGATTTCTTAGACAACAGTAAAATTTCAAATTCTCACTTTTTAAATACTGCAGTAATCTCACATCTGTTGCTTCTTAAGAGGCTTTGACAGTGTTTACAGAAGGATCACATAAAATTATTTAGAAGTAAATGTAAAATAAAACATACAGTATCTTACCATAGGATTTCAAGAGGTAAAAGGAAACAATGTTCTTATCCAAATCAGGAACACAATCCACTAACGCCTTGATTTTATGAACCTGCATAAATGGGAGGTACAGACATGAACAAAAAATAGATAGATAGATAGATAGATAGATAGATAGATAGATAGATAGATAGATAGATAGACAGACAGACAGACAGACAGACAGACAGACAGACACACACACACTTAAGTAGATTAGGAAAGCATCCAAAGGCCTCTAACTTCCGACAACCATTTACTAACATAACCTTGTACATATTTAGAAAGATAGAGACTCCTACAGAAAAGTATCATGGGAATGCACAGCTCCTACTCCTCCAATGAGGCTTACAAAATAGGATTTCTGAGTGGACAGTGTCCTTAGAAACTTGCTACAGGTTTTTTGTTGTTGCTGGCCTTTCTAAAGCAAGCCTTTGGTTTTCAAGTTTCATGAAACTCGTGGAAACAGGGCAATTACTAGCACTTAAGCGGCATACCATTTACCGAATAAATATTTTATGAATGGTTTTCTAAAATGCAAGTTTTATAAATAACAGAAATGTACCATTTGAGTACAAACTCCCTTCCTGTGTCATATTAAAGAATTCAAACCATCATCTTCTTCATTATCCTCTTTCAGAGGTGGCACCCAGAGAAGGCAGGGCAGGGAAGCTAGGACACTGTCTGTTAGTGGCTGCCCACCAGATGGGGGGCATGCCAAACCACTGAACACCTATTGCGGCAGTAAACAAACCGGGATGAACTGCTGAACTGGCAGTTTATGCCCATCTCAACTTCAAACCTTTCGAATTACATGTGTGTGCATTTGTGCAACAATTTATTTGTTGTGTAACATGTGCCAACATTATTTACTATTTTATTTTTGTTTCTCAAGATGTACTGTTTACTTCAGGATAGTAATCTAATAAAGTGAAAAGTAAAGCCAAACAAGAACTGAACTGCTCAATGAATATTTTCTGGAAAATACTGTACTGCCATGTCTGACGTGTGTCACTTGATGTGTTCGCCTTGTTGCTGCTGACAACAACAAAATAAAATAGAGCAACAACTAACTAGCAAGCGAGTCCACTGGAATTTATTCTCCTTTTTGTTCCTTGTACTGAGAAAGAGCCTCGTGGCGCAGTGGTTAAAACGCTATACTGCAAGCTAAAAAACTGTGCTCACGACCTGGGGTTCAAATCCCAGGTAGCCGGCTCAAGGTTGACTCAGCCTTCCATCCTTCCGAGGTCGGTAAAATGAGTACCCAGCTTTCAGGGGGGGCAATGTGTAGCCTGTATAATTAAAAATTGTAAACCGCCCGGAGAGTGCTTGTAGCGCTATGGGGCGGTATATAAGTCCAATAAATAAATAAATAAATAAAGTGCAGCATGCTAACACCTCTGGTGAACATTGAATATTATGGGCATAGTGATATCAGGGCATGATCATGTGAAAGTCCTGGAAACATATAAATTTGAGAGAGAGAGAGACAGACAGAGACAGAGAGAGGTTGATATACCTGTCCTGCTTTTTTGGCTGCCTCACGAAGGAAACCAATCAGAATGTTCTTTTGTTCACTTATTGCACTGCATCTCTTGAAAAGAGAGAAACAAGGCCAAGAAAGATTAAATGAGCAAAAGGAACTGTAGGATCCTTATAAATAAAACTGGCAAAGGATGAAAATGTCCAATTTAAAAGTTTCACAATAACCAATAATATATTATTACCCAAGGCCTCAATAGTCCACCATTTATTAAATACCTATAGAAAGGGAAACAAATGGAGTGCCAAAGCATTTCTCCCTTGTCTTTTTCTGGCAAATGCCGTCCTTGGCACAATAAACATTAGATTTGCTCAAAAGAGGGTGGAAAATGAACAAACATTTTAACATCCCAAAGAAAAGAGATTTAGGACTGTAAAAGAAAGGCGGTGTGGGGGGGGGAACTATTCCTCTCCAATTATTCTGCCAAGCATTCACCAGTGAGCTAAGGATCATAAGGTTAATTATACATTTAATAAGGTGTCAGGGAGATAACTGCTCGTTTCTTTATAAAAATTAAAATGTACAAAGCAAGTTCTCTTTAAAGTATAATTACCTACACTTATGCATACAAAAGGACTGATTTCAATCTCTCTATTTTATAAAAGGCTTTCTCTGCCACAGCCTGCCAGTACTCAAGAGACAAAAGTTAAAACTCAAAAAAGTTTCTGTGACAGGCCCAACAAATCAAGTGTGTGTGTCCTATCTTCAGTACCATGTTTTTTAAAAAAGGCCAGACATTATTTTAGTTTATGCTCAGAAATGTTAGCCTTGAAAACTGTGTGGTGATCCCCGCCCCCGGGAGGGAAAAAGCTTAACATGTCTTGTCAATATTAAAGTCTTAAGGATCAGCAGATGCCACTTGGCAGAGCATGTATACACACAGGCACACAATTATTTTACAGGAAGATACTGGAGACATTTATGAAGAACCCAACATACATAATGCTAGTCAAGTTTTCGGAGAATTCAAATGAAGTTCATCATCAGAGGTGTCTAGTGACCCGCAAAAGGAAGCCAAGTGGAAATTCCTGAACATCATTCATTCATTCATTCATTCATTGTTCTATTTCTAATTTGCCTTTCAAAAATTACAACTTAATTGCTTGAGAAAGCAAAACTAAAAGTCACCCTCTGAAACATATGGTACAACAGAAAAAAGCAATGCCAATTTAATTCTATACCTGGAAGGGAATGATTCATCATACAATGAAAAATGGCAGAGCCATACTTTTTAACAAATAGTAAGCTATGGTAAGATGCTGGAGAATAGTAATTTCAGAGCTCCTTAGTAAAACAAATATTTGAACCAAAGCAGCATGTATCATATGATTCTGGACCAACAGGAAAAAAAATGCAGAGCTGGGCACTGCATCATACATAATACAACCTTCCTAGTTTCATGGATAGACCAAAAGGGGACTGAAAAATATTTCTAGTGATAAAAAGGGTGGAGAGACTTTATGTTCTGCATGATGCTCCAAACTCCTCAGATTAAAATATCTCAAACCTATGCAAAATATATAAATTTCCAACTCTGTGAAATACAGGTTGCCTATGAATATTTTTTTAAAAAATTTTCAGGGGAAATTAGCACAAAATTCTCTTAACTGCAAATTTTAAAGGGAAACAGCAGCAGAGAGATAATACTACAGGCCACTGGAACACCAGCTCTGCCAGTTAAGAAGCTGGCACGGAACTGAACACATGTTGCTTTAAACAGAACCTTCCACAGTGCCCTGAAAGGAGATCAGCTATTCCAAGATGATGATATTGTTGAGTTGGGCTGGGGAGAGCAAATGGTTTGAAATTAGTTACCAGCAACACTAGTTTTTATCTTTGTAATTTTTGCTCAGGTTTTTTTTTAGTAAAAAATTATGCAATTAAATTCCAGTCTAATATTCCATGGTTTACACTTTCCTCATGTCATGCCATGTGACTTGGCTCTGTCTGTCTTGTTCTACAGTGAACTGAAAGTTCTCTTGAGTTTTTCAGCAGATAGAAAATAAGATTTCAAGACACTGTGAAATCATAGACACTAAAAAAATATACTTACATGGGAGAAAGAAGAATGCACCAGTCACAGGGAGAAAGTCAGCACTATGTTAAGTACACAACCAAGGTACACTGAGCTGTCCAAGACCTTTTCCTATAACAATTCATATCAGGAATCTCCCAAACGGAGTATTCGTTTTCCTGAATGGGCCTGATTCTGCACTAATGTTAGTGGCATCTCTGCTGCCATTTGTTCAACATTTTCCTTATTTTTGTTAGAAAAATGACATTTTCCATCCCATCCCATGATTTTCTGTCCCTCCTGAAGAATGTATTATTTTCATCGTTTGTTCCAGGAGGGGCCGCGTTTAGTGCTATGGTGTTTGCATCTGAAGTTCACTTAAGTCAGAGATTCCTGGTCAAATTTACATTCAACCAACTGAACAAACAACTCTAGAACAGAAGCTCCATGAAGTCTTAGTGAGGCCTTACATATTTTTAAAAGATTTCCTGAAAAGAGCAATTTTTCAGAGAACTGGCATTTTAAAGTGCAGTTTGGTTAAAGATCTTGGTAAACCCTATGTTTCTTTGTGAACAGCCTTGAGAAGAAAACTTACCCCATGTGGAAGACCCCTTAGACTAATATAAAACTAGTATTTTCACCTGAATGATTCCAAAAAAGAACATTTCTACTATAAAACATTTAAAATGAACATTTGCACTTTAGATCTGGCAACTAAAATACAAATAATATGGCAATTTAAAAGCTCTGGGTCCGGCGGCTAAAAGGCTGCTTGGCAAAGGACAAAAACACACAATTTCTCTTGCACACATGTAAAACATGGATTAGATTCCAGCCAACATGTTCTAGACATTATACCTTTTAAACCCACACACAAAAGTGTATTTTTCCTGATGTATTATTACCTGTAGAAGATGTCTGGCATCTTCCATTCTTCTTCCATTTATATACTCAACAAAAAGATCTGTGGCAGGCCTATAAATTCCAAACTGATTGGCCAATCGTTCAGCCATGGCACTCACTGAAAATATATATATTTGAAACAAGTTAGTCAGTATGAATTGATTTAACACCCGCCCCCCAAAAGGCCTTATATCCACTAGTAAGATCAATTTGGCTGACAAGTCCAATGAATAGGACCTAATACCTACTGAACATCCTACCAAGAAATATGCACAAGGCTCCCTTACTTCTTTTATGCAGGTCTTAAATACTATAGTTGGCCTTCACAATAATGTGAAATTCTGATCTTTATTTTCCAAACTTTTTTATGTTGTTGTTATTTTAAATGTGTAATGTTGCTGTTTTAGTTGACTAGACTTTTGTTCACCTTGAAAGGCAGCGTAGAAATATTTTAAATAAATAGATTAATATTTGCGAACTAAGGATTTAAACCTATTAGGTAAAGTTTCTATTTAAATGAACACAGATACACTTGATGCCAGCCAACTTGAAAACAGCTACTAGTTTGAGCTTCCCTTGTAACAACCAGTGAAGAATGGAAGATTACCGAACTTGCTTCTCTTCCTCCCTCTTTTTCTAACGGTGTAGGTGAGAACCGACCTATAGGTTATAGTTTACACAAATTAATAACGTTTTTAATTAGCGATTCCTGCAAATTTAATTGTCAAATGAACTTACATCTTTCCAAAGCTGTTTCTGATTTGTTGTCTATTAGTCTTCTATATACAAAGGCAATGGAACTTTTTGCCTGTATCTCTCCAGAAGTAAACAGATGTTCAAGGTATTCTACAGCACCATCAACGTTATTACTGGAAAAGGAAGGGGGAAAATGTTGAACTCATTTTGTTCCTGATGTTAGCACTCCTAAACCAAGGAAGCAGTTGCATCAATGTTTTATTTTAGTAGCACGTTAAAAGTACCCATAACTCCACTCATGCAGATACTGTCACAACACGAAGTGAAACAGATTTATGGCTGACTGGATGAGGTCAGTACTAACACCATTTCTTTTAGGACTGAAATCTGACCTGTTGTATAGTTAAATAAGCTTGACATAAATGTTGCCATTTTTAGCAAAACAAAGATGTCTGCTAGTTAGTTACCTCCAAAATAGTACAAGGGCCAAAAAGGAAACCATCCAGGGATAACATCTAAATAATTAATGCAGAAGAAACGAAAGAGTATTTTTGATAATATTTAATTAAATATTTTCTTGAATTTTTCATAGCTGTCTTTTCTGATGCAAACATGGTGATACCATAATGTGAATATGTGTAACAGCATTGTCTACATGCTTTCTTGTCTGAGTGCAACACAGCATGAGATAGCATTGGGTAAGAAAAGTACTACAGTCATAAGAAATACACTTTATTGTAGGACAAAAGGATTAAAAGGATAAAAGGAGTGACACAACATTTTTTTTCCAGAGAGTGGCGGCAAGACCTTTTTCTAAATGGAAAAACATTTTATACAAGTTCCAGTGCTAAAGGTATTGACAGCTGCTATAGCTTCATGATGTGTTCAGAGTCAGTACTCAATTAAAAGAAGTACCTGAACACCAGACACAGCAGGGTTGAGGGTACTCATCAGTATTTGAAATCAGACAGCATGTATTTAGAAACTGGCTGCTTGGGCTCTTTTTCATTCTCCATAATGTTAACAATGTGGTATTTTAAATTATCTTGCAGCTCTTTGGCAAACATACTCTCATTGGTCCTACATGCTTGGAGCACAGATACCTATAACACATATAACTCTCTTGATTTGCTGAAGGAGATAACGTTTTGTAAGGCTGTGCAGAATCAAAATAAAGTAAAGGGTCAGATATTCTGAGAAATAACGGCTAACGTATATATTGTAGGAGCATACAGTATTAAGATGTATTTCAGGACATTTCCCAAGGAGAAAATGGCAGAGCTTCACATGGAAACAAACAGTATGTCCATTCAAATCCTAAGTCAAAAGTAAATGAAATTCCATTAAACTATTTAATCAAGCTAGAAAGGCATAAGCCATTATAGAAAATAGAAACTACATAAGTGGAGCACACTTTCTTGTTTCCAATTTGTATTCATATTCTTTTCAATGGAGGGTTCCAAACATTTCTTTAGAAAAGCAGGCCTTTACTTTCAAAGTCAGTGTGGTTTTGCACATCCAACAAACCTCTTTGTAACTGCAAAAAATCACACATGCATTCTGCAAAATCATAAGGATACAGAGCAAACTGAACACATGTTTAAAGCTTAGCGATGCGGACAGTAAGCCTTTTGTTGGCTTTGAGGAGCTGTGCATTGTCCTATGAATTAGAACACTATAAAGGACTACAGACATCAGCCTGAGTCAAGGCTCTATTTAGGCGGGCAGAATTTGATAAATGTGTATGTTTGACATCATTAGCCTACTCAAAGTTCCCTTATAACCTCCCAGTTTCTGCATTTCATTAAATAGACTCAAGTTTTCATTGTTTCCAAGATAAGAAATCTTAACAGCTCGCAATTCCAACATTCATTCATTTAACTATCAGAAGGAAAGATTATTGTTATACAAGGTAAAAAAGGTCACCATATCAAATTTCTTACTGCTGGTACAATTGAAAATATATCTACTACAGATCTGCTTACCTGTTGATGTGAGCCAACACTGTGTTACTGACGAAAAGCATAGATGGCAGATTTATAGCTTTATGCAAGTTTTTAATCATCTTTTCAACTGTGCGTATGCTCTCCAGATCCCCCTTCTCAGCCAAAGCTTGAACAAGTTGAGTAACCGACAATGAAGTGGGTACCCCACCACTTTCAACCATCTTCTTGAAAGTCAACATTGCATCTATTCAGAAAAATAAGGGAAAAGAGAAGAAAAAGCCCTTATTCAAAAGAAGGAATCTTGGACCTTGACATATATTATGTCACAGAGGCATAGATTTAATTGGTAACATGGAAGAAAGTGGAAAATCTCACAATCTTCCTGCTTGAATTTGCTACAGTTCTTTTGTATGACTTTTTTCAGAAAAGCAATCACATTTGTTGCTTCATCTTTTTCATAGAACTGCAAAGTCAGGAGGAATCCAAAGGGTCACTGAGCCCACCCCCCTGCAGAAGCAGACAGGAGGCTGCCCAAACTCCACTTAAAAACCTTTAGTCAAGGTGAATCCTGAGACAATCCGTTACACTATTGAAGAGCTCTTACTGACTTTCGAACACTGTTTGAAAGTTTGATTAGTGATGAGAAGAATTTCATTCAGTGTGTTTGTGATAATGTTTGAAAAGTCTGCAAATTTCTTCATTGAAAATTTAAAAAAAAAAACACGAATGCCAAGAAAGCAAAATTCATTTATCTCAAATGTTCATTGAGCTCTTCAAAGTCTGGCCTTAAAACTTTGCATATTGAGACTCATCATTTAGCTACACGTAAAGCAAGTACAAACCACTTCTCCCCATGTCAGAAATAGATACACATATTAAGTTTGCAAATGGCTCAAAACTTTGGTCAGTTAATTTTTTTAAAGAACATGCCAAAGTCTGTGCCTTTCTCCATAAACAGGAGAAAATGTGAGACAACAGATTCACCCAAACTTGTTTCTAATAAGCTTTCATGTCCACTTTTGGTATTCCTTTTGAGAAAAAAAAAATTGAGCAAAATTCACTGTGTATATTATAAGGCAGAATGTGGCAAACTGAAGTCTGGGAGCAGCATTTTTTGGGGGTGCTCCCTGAAAACCGCTTCCATTTTTTAAATCGGTATTTTGTGGAAATCAATAAAATTGATATTTTGTGCATGGGAGCCCACACCACATTCAAAGTAGAAGCAGATCTCCTAGAGGGGAGATTCCTGTATGGTTTTTCCCCCTCAAATATTTTTGCACAAAAGAATCCATTGTACTTGGGCACTCTATGGACTGTAAGAATGGAACTGACTGAATGATTTTTTTAGCAAAAACTGTGCCTTTTTCCTGCCTGTAATATTACTATAAGCAAAATGTAGGATACATCTATGGCTGAGTTAACAGTCATGTCTGCACACAACAGACCAAAGTTATGGCTTATATAAGCACAATGTTAACAAGTAACAGTCTTGTGCTTATACCCCACCTGCTCCTACTTTACCCTTCCAACCAGGCTGGGATAGCTTAGTGTCATATCCAAACCCAGCACTATGACTTACTGCAACCAGATAAAGTAGTGCTTACAAGTAAGTTGCAACACCTGGTCTGAAGTTGTTTTATGAGTACTGACTTGTTTAAAGCATTAATTGTTTATTGTCCGGGCACAGTAAGCCATAGTACCAGATTTACATGTAAAGTTAAATTATCCATATCTAGTTTGTTCACTGCCTTCCATACTGGCAATGTATCTCGGCTGTGTGCACTAACACACTGCTTGTTCATACTGAGGTGCAATAAATCAGACTTCACAGCTTAATGTTCAGTGCAAATATGGCCATTCTTATGATCCTATGAATATAATTTGGTCTTCTGGCTTCTCCTCTACCATCCAATATTCTCTCAGAAGAACAATATATTTGCATTCAGTACTCAGCCTTGCTTGAAATTACACATTTTGCATCTCTTCCATATAGCTCATTACTTTATGGGACTTGCACAATACATATTTTTGAGACTCATGTAGTAAACCTACCATTACAGTGGTGCCTCGCTTAACGATTGCCTCGTTTAGCGATGTTTTTGCTTAACGATGGTTTTTTAAAAAGAATTCTATGCATCATTTAACGATGTTTCCTATGGGCGATTTTTGCTTAGCGATTTCGGGACCATGTTTCACATAGCGAATGCATTTTTAGGTCCCCTGTTTCGCTTAACGAAGTCCGTTTTTTCAATTTTAAAAGTATCTTAAAATGTTCAAAAATGTTTTAAATGCTTGGAATCGTTAGTGCACGTTCTAAAACGTGTGCAAACTTTATTTGGCTTTGATATGACTTTTTGTTAATTTTTTGCGAATTTTTTTTCTCCCCCATAGGAAAGCATTGAATCCAACTTTTGACAGCTGTCAAAAGTTGGGTTCCATTGTTTCCTATGGGGGAGGAAAAAATTCACCACAAATTAACAAAAAGTCAGCAACTGTTTTAAATGCTTGGGTTTGTTAGAGCACCTTCTAAATCGTGTGCAAACGTAGTTTGGCTTTGTTCTGAGTCTTTGTTAATTTTTTTGTGAATTTTGTTCTCCCCCATAGGAAACAAAGAGCTGTCAAAAGTTGGGCTCCATTGTTTCCTATGGGGGGGAATAAAATTCATAAAAAATTAACGAAGACTCAGAACAAAGCCAAACTAAGTTTGCCCACGATTTAGAAGGTGCGCTAACGAACCTAAGCATTTAAAACAGTTGCTGACTTTTCATTAATTTGTGGTGAATTTTTTCCTCCCCCATAGGAAACAATGGAGTCCAACTTTTGACAGCTCCTTTGTTTCTTATGGGGGAGAAAAAGAAATTCAGAATAGATTAACGAATACTCAGACTGTTTTAAATGCTTGGATTCGGTTAGAGCACCTTACAAAACCTATGCAAACTTAGTTTGGCTTCGTTCTGAGTCTTCGTTAATTTTTTGTGAATTTTTTTCTCCCCGATAGGAAAGCATGGAGCTGTCAAATTTTGACAGCTGTCAAAAGTTGGTGGGGGAAAAAATTCAGCAAAAATTAATGAAAAGTCAGATCAAAGCCAAATTAAGTTTGCACCCGTTTTAGAAGGTGCACTAACGATTCCAAGCATTTAAAACAGTTTTTGAACCTTTTAAGACACACTTAAATTTGCAAAAATGGACATCGCAAAACCATTGAAATGCACTGAATAGACTTCAATGCATTCCAATGGAGAAACACTGTATTGCTTAACGATGTTTCCTATGGGCTTTTTCGCTTAAGGACGGCAATCCGTGCCTAGTGGAATGGATTAACCGGTTTTCAATGCATCTGTATGGGAAAACGCGTTTCGCTTAACAATGTTTTCCCATAGCGATGTTTTTTTGGAACCAATTAACATCATTAAGCGAGGCACCACTGTAGTAAAGGAATTGCAGATAAAACTGCCAATGACATTATGCTTTTGCACAAATCTATGGTTCATCCACACTTGGAATACAATGTACAGTTTGCATCAATGCACCTCAAAATGATACGTGAAAGTAGACATGGTGTAGAAGAGACCATGTAAAAGATCAGAGCCATGTTTAAGGAAAGGTGAAAACATTTGGAAAGCTTCAGCTTAAGGGAAAAAGGCTAGTAAGGGAGGCATGATTCAGGAATTTAAAATTGGGCATAATATAGAAGAAAAGGGCAAGGAGAAGTGTTTCTGCCTTTTTCATATTATCTCTCTTAATCCAAAATACCATTTCCCCGAAAATAAGACCTAGTATCGTTTTTCAGGATGCTCATAATATAAGCCTTACACCTAAAATAAGCCCTAGTTAAGTGAAACCATGCCCTCCACCATTGTGCAGCAACTACAAGATGACATGACTGTATTTGAATAAATGTAGACTGTTGTGCATGAAAAAAATCCCCTGAAAATAAGCCCTAATGCGTTTTTTGGAGCAAAAATTAATATAAGACCTTGTCTTATTTTTGGAAAAACACGGTAGCTATGTGGTAGGAGATTCACAAGTGATAAAAGGAAATACTTCCAGTCACAACATATAGTTAAATTATGGAATTTGCTTCTGAAAGATATAGTGATGACTGCTAACTAAAATGAGTTCAAAAAGACACCAGACATATTCACAGAAGAGAAAGCTCTCAATAACTGCTACTTGTGATCCCTTTATATTGCTTCTCCAGGATCAACAGCAACAAGCTTCTGAATTCCAGTTGACAGGGAACAATATAGTGAGGCCTACTGTACTTCATTCCTGGCTATGGGTATTACACAGGCATAATTACTGGCCATGGTAAGAACTGAAGGCTGCTAGGCACTGGACTTGCTAGACTTCTGGTTTGATTTGCAACAGTTATTTTACATAGTAGTCCTTCTGCTATTGTGGTTGCTATGTACTGTAAAGTCACTTGTAACTTACGGCCATTCTAATAGGGTTTTTTTTTTTAAAGGTATGTGAGATGTTCAAGCAGTTTACCACTGCTATCCCCCGAGTGGGTTTCCAGTGGTCAAGTAGGCATTTAAAGCTGGGTCTGCTGAGTCCTAATTTGATACTCTGTCCACTACATCACTCTGGCTCTCTTTTTTCTGGTTTCACATATCAACAAATAAATCTCTTATATTTCCTTAAATAGACTGTCCTTGGGTATGTACACTGTTATCTTCCATTGCGTATTCAGAGTTTTAAGGCTATGGATATTCTTGATTACATTCCTGATGTCTGATTTTAAAAGCAGTTCTTAAATCAATGAAAATGGAAACCAAGCTTCCGGGGTTCCCCTTCTCCATTTAACTAAGACCTGGCTAAAAGCCAACATCATTTACAAAGCACTAGAGGGGACCACCATGACACTTAATGAAATTTACATTGACAACTGTATAAAGCAAAGTGGAAAAAAGTGGATTAGCACAGAAGACAAAGAAGATACTGTAAGATACATGAGAGTCAGAACAATATTTTCAAGTATTATGAATGCTTACTTGTTGGAAATTAGTCTCTATATTTGCAATTATCAACTCTGTATGTGCTCGTGGATTATCAAGTCCTTTTGTACAATTTTTCAGGCACAGTGGGTATATAATAATTTTTATTTTTAATACTTCATCAACATGAAACACACATAGGATATGTATTTCATAGGTTATCACCCAAATGAAAGATAGTAAGAATAAATGCCACTTTATTCAAGATAAAATTCTCTTTCTTGATCCAATATAAAGCTACCTCTTGTGCTTTGTCAACATTTGTAGTACTCTAACCAATTCATGAAACAATACTCTATTTGGATCAATAATCAATACTCTATTTGGATTCCAGTTTGCTGAAGACAAAATACCAGTATAAGTAGGGTACTGTCATGCATTTCATTTCTTCAGTTTGCCTCACAACTCTCTTGTCTCTCACTTGTTCTTAGGCTGTTCTTTGTGCGTTAAAAAAAAGACTACAGGACAACAGAATCTGAAGGATTTAGATGTTAGGCAGGTGTAGGGAGCTGTTACGGGTTCTAAATTATTTCCTGAAGTGAATCTATGTGCGAAAACTATGAATACAAACTCTTTTCAGCATTATGTTTCTAGCTGAAATCATTTTGTTTCAGGCTGATGCACCAGCTTGAATTTATATCTCTTGATGAAATGGAGGGGGGCAGCAGCTCAGAACTTCATGTGACATTCTTCAACTGGACAATATCCTTCATGATGTCAATCCAAACACTGCAAGTGGCCCTATTGGAGTTATTTCCAACATGGACACATATGTGTTCAACCTGCTCCTTCATCTGCTGGGCACCTATCCACTCTTGTAAATTACTTCAAGCTTTAAATTCAGGTTTGTCCATCAACAGAACTCAAAAATGGCTAGATAGCTTATTAATTCATGATGCATACTAGATGGAAAGAAAAACTAACAAAGACAAGGATGGAAGACTCAAAGATGCACTCTTATGATCTGGTGTGCTGGAAGAGCAAAGCCTTGGAAAATTCCTTTTTTAAAAATTACAAACAACAGAGACTGGTTGGTGGATTCTGGGAGATCTAGTGCTAAAAGGAATTTTTTTTCCAGAAGTGTACCAGAGTTCCTTACAATGAGCATATGAGAAGCCCCCTGTCAGGGGAAAAATCACAGGAAGCTGAGTAGAAGCCAGACGCAAGCAAACTACAGGTGAAATGCAGGACAGATAAAGCCAAACAAAAGACAAAATAATGCTCAGAGCAAGTTTAAGGCTTAGCACATCAGCTCTAAGCAAAAGATGCTGGCGAGCTCACTGGGATCTTTATGATGATATCAGCCATGAAATCAAAGTCAGCAAAATGTTCAAGAGACTTCAGATAGCTGAGATTCTAAGATACTTCTAAGGAACAGTAGAGCTCATGTTTTGTATATGACTATCCCCTTGCAGCTGGAGTTAACGAGGGCTGGACCATCCACTCACATATCTGCTGGTGGTGGCTCTTCTCATCCTTCCAACTGCTCCCTGAGTGCTGTTCTCTTCCCGGTCATCTAGTCACTCCTGGCAGAGGGAGGGAGGATGAGCCTCCCGGCAACACTGCCGAATGGCTAGCCAAGTGGTGCTCCAGAGTAATGGAAAGAGAGTGGCCGGCTGCAGATGTGTGAGTAGACTCTCGTTAACTCCTGCTGTGCGGGGATATTCGTATACGAATACAGTGGTGCCTCGCTTAATGATTGCCTTGTTTAGCGATGAATTCGCATAACAATGTGTTTTTTTAGAAAATAATATGCACCGTATAACGATGTTTCC